AGGAGAAAAAGGAGGAGGAGGCGGAGGAGGAGGAGGAGGAGGAGGAGGAGGCGGAGGGGGCGGAGGAGGAGGAGAAGGAGGAGGAGGAGGAGAATGAGGAGGATGAGAAGGTCGCCTTAGCTACGCGCCATGGGGGAGGAGGAGGAAGAGCAGGTGGATGATGATGATGATGATGATGATGATGATGATGATGATGATGATGATGATGATGATGAGGATGATGAGGATGATAAGGATGATGAGGAGGAGGAGGACGAGGAGGAGGAGGATAAGCAGGAGGATGAGGAGGAGGACCAATGTAAACCTGAGACCCATTAGAGATGTTGGAATACACCCTCCCTCCAAGTTCCCTCCTCATAGGCCCCATACAAGGGTTCCTTTCTATTGAAGGAAGTGCCCCGTGGTGGGACAGCCGTATGCAAGTCCTGAGGCGTGCCCAAAGCAGTTCTCATGACTTCAAGACCACGAGTCATCCTGACTGTTGCGTCTTGACGGTCCTGCACCGTGCGAAAAAAAACATAATCATTGGAATTTCAACACTGGGAATCAGCGAAACTGTTGCGACCCGACAATCCTGCATTGGTTCAAATACAATCTCTGGTATGTTGACCCTGAGAACCAATTGAATTCGCAACAGTTTTAAAACGAATGTGCGCGGCGCTGAGGCGAAGACCACATTTTGAAGAAGAGCCACCCTGTATCCGTGAAGCTCTTGCAGTTTTTGAAAGACGCAAGTGCGCGGCGCCAAGGCGAGAGCCGCATGTTGAAAACGTCCCGCCCTCACGCCGTGACTTTCTGACATTCTTTCAGATTAATGTGCGCGGCGCCAAGGCGAGAGCCGTATTGTGAAAAGCAACTGATGTCAATCCGTGACACTCGCAAATGTTTAGTACGAGTGTGCGCGACGCTCAGGCGATAATCACATTTTGAAAACGGCCCATCCGTGGAACTTTTTTCTTTTGTTAAAAACGTATGTGCGCGGCGATCTGACGAGAGCCACATTTTGAAAATGACCCGCCCTCAATCCGTGAAGCTCTTGCAATCCTTGACAGACGAAAGTGCGCGGCGCTAAGGCGAGAGTCACATTTTGAAAGCCACCCGCCCTCCATCTGTGAAGCTGTTGCCAGTTCTGCAGCCTGAGACTTACGAGTGGTAAGGACGTCTCAGGCGGAAGGCCCAGCCCGCCCTTCCGACTGGCCTCGGGGTGCGACATGGAGGAGTTATTCATAAGGAACACGAGTGGAGGAGTGGCAGTCGGTGCCGAATCGTGCCTAGAGTAGTTGGATAGTGGCCAAATGCATGCAGTCGTGGCCAGACCATTTAGTGGTCGTGCACCTGGCTCAGCGTGCGCCTCAGAACTGTGGTAGATATCCCGGCGGGAACATGTTTTCTGTAGCGCGCCCGTGTGTGCCGCCATTCGGGCGGGCGCCTCGGAGGGATTTGGGGGGAGGGGGGGGGGGCCAGGGAGGAGGGGTAGTCAGAGGAGGATAGGGAGGAGGAGGAGGAGGAGGAGGAGGAGGAGGAGGAGGAGGAGGAGGAGGAGGAGGAGGAGGAGGAGGAGGAGGAGGAGGAGGAGGAGACGGAGGGGGAAGGATCTGGGGAGGAGGAGGAGGAGGATGAGGAGAAGGTTCTGGAGCGAGGATCTGCGGATTCAGAGGAGGATCTGGAGGGATCTGGGGGAGGAGAAGTACGAGGGGGAGGAGGGGGGCCCGAGGAGGACGGGGAAGAGAAGGAGGGGAAGGAGGCGATGGGGAGGAGGGTTGGCGAGGATTGTGTGTGTGTGTATGTGTGTGCGTGGGGTTGGGGATGACGGTGATGATGATGATGATGATGATGATGATGATGACGATGATGATGATGACGATGATGATGATTATGATGATGATGATGATCATGCTGATGATGATGATCATGGTGATGATGAGTAGGAGGAGTAAGAGGAGGGACAGACTGATGATGGTGGTGATGATGATGATGATAATGGTGACGCTGCTGATGCTGCTGATGATGATGACGCCGATGATGCTGATGCTGATGATGATGATGCTGACGATGTTTTCTACGACGATACTGATGTTGAGGATGATGCTGATGATTCTGACGATGATGAAGATAGTGTCGCCTCATGACGACGACGATGATGATGATGCTGATTATGCTGATGATGATGAGGATGACAAAGGCGACGATGATGATGATGATGCTGACGATTACAATGCTAACGACGATGATGATGCTGATGACGACGATGATGACGATGACGATGCTGATGATGATGGTAATGATCATGATGACGATGCCGATTCCGATGATGATGATGATGATGATGATGATGATGATGACTATAATGATGATGAAGGCGATTACGATGATGCTGATGCTGATGATGATGAGTTCGATTCTGATTATGATGATGATGGTGGTGGCGATGATGTTGATGATGCTGCTGATGATGATGATACTGCTGATGATGATGTGATGAGGATGGTGATGCTGCTACTGATGATGCTGATGATGATGGTGATGATTGTGAGGATGATTGTGATGTTGATGATGGTGGTGACGATGATGACGATGCTGCTGCTGCTGCTGATGATGATGATGATGATGGAGATGATGACGATTATTATGATCATGAGGGTGATGCTGATCATGCTGATGATGATGCTGCCAATGATGATGATGATGATGATGATGATGATGATGATGATGATGATGATGATGCTGATGATGATGATGATGATGATGATGATGATGATGATGATGATGATGATGATGATGGTAAGTATACTGATGATGATGACGTCGACGACGGCCAGGATGACGATCATGATCATGATGATGTTGACGACAACGAGGATGATGATGAGGATGGTGATGAGGGTGAGGATGAGGGTGAGGATGGGGATGAGGATGAGGATGATGACGACGATCACATTGACGTTTGCGATGACGATGGCGATCATGATGCTGATGACGATGCTGATGGTCTTAATGATGATGATGCTGATGATCATGATGCTGATGATGCTCATGATAATGATTATGACTGTGGTGATGACGGCGATGATGCTTATGATGATGATGCTGATGCTGATCCTGGTGCTGATGCTGATGCTGATGATGATGATGAGGATGATGAGTATGATGATGATGGTGATGATGCTGTCGATGATGATGATGCTGAAGATGATGATGATGATGCCGAGTTTGATGATGATGACGATGGTGATGATGATGACTACGATGATGCTGATGATGATGGTGATGATGATGATGAAGCTGATGCTGGCGATCGCGGTATTTATGATGGCGTCGGTGATACTCAGTATGATGATGACGACTATGTTGATGCTGATGCTGCTGATAATGATGCTGATGCTGATGATGATGCTGCTGATGATGATGCTGATGATGATGATGATGATGATGATGATGATGATGATGCTGATGCTGATGCGGATGCTGATGCTGATGCTGATGCTGATGTTCGGATGATGATGGGGAGGAGGAGGAGGCGGAGGAGGAGGAGCAGGAGGATGAGGAGAGGGATATGGTGGAGGAGTGCTGGTGGATGGGGATAGGCGGGGGAGTGAGCGTGGGGTGGTGGGTGATGAGAGTGAGAGGGTGTGTAGGAGGATTTCGCAGGCGGAGGAGGAGAAGATGAATGTGGGAGCTGGATGCTGCTGGTGCTGCTGCTGATGTTGGTTTTGCTGATCTTTGCACCGCTTGCGAGGATGTTGATGACGATGTCGATGCCGATGCTAATTCTGGTAAGGATGAGGCTGTTGCCTTTGATGCTATTCCGTTTTCTGGTAGTGCGAAGGCGAATGCCAAGGATTGTGATATGGTTGAGTCGGCGGAGGAGACAGAGCAGGACATGCTGAGGAGAAGGAGCAGGCGGATGAGGATGATAAGGACAAGACAGTGGAGACGGATCTTGATGCGGAGTATGGCGACGAAGATAACGCGAAGGAGAGGGGACGTGGACGATGAGGCAGATGGAAGACGATCATAATGAGGGACGACGATGAGGTGGATAGCGAGGGGGATGATGAGGAGGAGGCGGATTATCAGGAGAAGCAGGACGATGATGATCATGATTATGTTGGAGAAGACGAGGAGGATGATGATGAGAAGGATGAACCGACCAGCCGTAGGAGGAGGAGGCAGAGGGAGGGGGAGATGGAATTGGGATGTTGATGATGAGGATGATGATAGTGATGATGATGCTGATGCTAATTATGATGAGGATGATGCTGATGATGAGGACGATGTTGATGCAGAAGGTGATGATGGCTATGATTGTGCTAATAATTGTGATGATGATGATGACCCTGTTGACGGTTCTGATGATGAGGACTAGGATGATGATGTTGATGGTGGTGATGATGATGACGATTATGGTGATGATAATGAGGATGATGTTGATGATTATGATGATGACCTACGATGGTGAGGATTATGAGGCTGATGATGATGATGATGATGATGATGATGATGATGATGGTGCACATGATGATGCTGATGAGAATGATGCTGATGCTGATGCCGATGCTGATGCTGATGCTGATGCTGATGCTCGTGCTGATGCTCGTGCTGATGTTGATGCTGATGCTGCTGCTGTTGATGATGATGCTGATGGTGATGATGAGCATGATGATTGGACGGCGGAGGGACTCATAAGGAATATTATGATGGGGCGAACGTTTGCACAGAGTGGGGGAGTTGCTTTGCACAGACACCCGCTTAAATTCCCGATCGCACCTGTACCCCCTTAAATTCCCGATCCCTCCACAGTCAGCAACATGGCGTGCGCGCATCTGGCGTGCCCGTTCTTCGGCGCGCTCCCGGCGTCAGCCGACGAGCAGGGCCGATGCCGGCGCTGCGGCCAGGCGCTGCCCGGCGCTGCTGCTACCGCCGTTGCGGCGGCCGGGCCGCCGATGCCGCCAGGGCTTCCCGCTCCGGGCGCTGGCTCTGCGGCGGCGGCCCCAGCGAACATGGACACTGGCGCTACGCAGGGCATGTCGGCTCTGCGGATGGGCGCGGACGAGGACTCGGAGGCGGGGCACTTGGAGGCCATCGAGGTGGACGACGACAACATCGCGAGGACGGGAGCCTCTGCTGCTGCTGCTGGGCCCTCCTCGGCTCCTGGTCATCTCGCGCCTGGGCTCACAGTCTCTCTTCGGGACGAGCTCATGGTGGACTTCGTCGAGGAAGAGGTCATGGTGCACCTCCCCTGGGTCGCTGCGGCGAACGCGGGGCAGGCCGCCACCGGTAGCCCAGCGGTCTTCTACCCGACATGTTGGGCGGACCTCCAGGGCATTTTGCAGAAGTTGGGTTACGGAGTGACCGCCGAGGAGGCCTGGCATCTCCTGGGCCTGGCGATGCTCGATGGTCCGGACCCGTCGGAGCTCATGATTGCCAACAGGCGCCGCACGGCCGAGCAGCTCTGCGAGCTCGCTGTGGCCCCTCCATGGGCGGATGGGGATCTCGCCCTCGCGCGGGGGTTCGCTGCCAAGGTCAACGATGCGGCGGCGACTTGCGTGTCTGCGCTGCCCGTGGCTCTGGCCCAGCGCCGGCGTCTCAAGGTGCCACGGCTCCCCCTCCACAAAGAGCTGGGTGCAGTCGCACTGAGTCTTCTTTCGAACAATCTGCCGGGGGGGACTTGCATGGCCACTGAATGGTCTGGGATATTGGGAGCTGAGCTCCAGACGGCCTCGGACATTGCCGCCGCGCGACGGTTGGCGGGCTGGGCGGAGAAGGGGGATGAGAGCTTCTGGGCGCAGGTCACTGGGAGGCAGGTGGCACTATGGGCCCCCACGGACCAGAATGCGCTCACCAGGTTCCTCTCCCAGTTCATGCGTCGCACGGCCGCGGCAGAGCGCCCGGCGGCCCTCTACCTCCTCGCCCCCGTGCCGCTGCAGGCAGGCATGGGGACACTGGAGACAGTTCTGGACCTCTGGCACTCCCCGCTCTTGTCAGGGAAGTGGGCCCCCATCGTGCGGGCATACACGCTGACCTTGACACCCATGGAGATGCTGCTTCCGGGCGGTGGGTTCCCGCGTCACGTGTACCAAGGCCTCGCGGTCTTCCATCTTGGCCACACGGAGCCGCGGGGGCTCCCGCGCTTGCTGGAGCCGCACGCCGCCATCTGCACCGTGGAGGCGCCCAGGGTGATGGTGTTGGACCTCCGGGCAGACGAATACAACCGGACCATGAACCTTCTCACGAACAGCGTCTTGCAGGGCGTCCTCAGCCGCGCACCGCGGCGCAGCCCATTGAGCACTACAGCGATTCCTCGCCTCTGCTTGGACTGGATATTGCCTCCAACAGTCCAGGACATGGACATACTTCTCGTTCTCCGGCATGGCCGTGGGGAGTCATTAGCTTCAGACACCTTTTACGGCCTCCGCTCCATGGTCGGACACGGGGAGGCGCTGCTCCTGGAGTTCTCCTCCAAGCTCGCGGTGCCGCACTACTGGCCGCTTTGTTCCCAGCTGGTCGCCATCTCGCCCAGCAGGGTCGTCGTGTACACGGAGGCGGAGCCGGAGACATGGACTGGCAAGATGGACTATGTCATGCACAACGACGTGGAGGAGACATCTGTCCGGCTACGCTGGCGGGCGTCCAAGCATGGAGGCAGGGTGGTCGCGGCGCCGTCTGCCACCTCCCGCGGGCTGGCGGCTTCGCGGCGACGCGGCACAGCACCTCTCTCCCTCCACGACTTCCAGACCGACGTCGTCATCCAGGGGGAGGTGGGGAAGGAGGACGGCCAGGTCCTCAGGGTGCTGATGACACACGTGATTCAGGCCACGGGGCTGACGATCAACGGGACGGACTATCAATGCGCACCGAAGGTGGGGGAGTACATCCACCTAGCTACCCAGGACCCCGCCGCCCAGCCAGGCCGGCTGCGGGTGCTCCTCTCGTCGATTGACGACGTCCGCAAGCGTCACAATGCCCTCCACGGTCAAACCGTGAAGGTGGGGCTCGACAGGATCGGGGTGATGGTCTGTAACGACTTGTTGGAGAGCCGCGGAGTGCCGGGAAACGGGCAGCGGAGCCGGGCCTGAGTACCCACCGGTTCCATGACCCCGCAGGGTACTCTGGACACTTGCATGGTGGAATTCAGTATTGGGATGCTGATGGCTCCACGGGCTTCCTCATCGAGGTCGCGTGGTTTCTCCGCGCTGTGCCTACAGCGTCGAGCAGCCAGCTCCGCCACGAGATGGAGGCCATGCTGGACACGCGGCCGGTTTGTCATTCGGAGCTTCCGCAGCCTGTGAGTTGCGTTTCCTCCTCTTCTTCCTTCTCTCGCCCTACGAATTTAAGAATTTCGCCGAATTCGAATAATTTAAACGTTGGCGTTTCTGACCCAGTTTTTTCAAGTGCCAGGTGTCTGCCAGTACTGCCACCTTTGGCATACAGTGCGGAGGACATCCTCCCTCGCGATCCGGGCGCTCTCCTGCGCCTGGACATGCCGATTGCGCTCTACCGGAGACAGCGGCTCCTGCGGGCATTGGGGTCGCTCCCGAGGACGACTTCTCTTCCAGCTGCACTCCCGCAGGTCCGTCCGGCATCTCCGGCGATGTCCAGGCCAGGGCAGTTTCAGGGTGAGTTCAGCGCGGCCACTTGGAACGCCCAGGCCTTCTTCTGCTCCGATGAGGGCCGATTCCGCGCCAAGGTTGCCTACGCGAGCCGGCTGCTGGAGCGGGCATACATCTTGATGATCACGGAGGCGCACGGCACGGACGGTGGCAACCGAGCGTGGCGGCCTCCCATTGGGACCCGGACGTGGTGGTCGGCTGGCCCCTCCCCAAGCAGCGCTGGTGTCGGCGTCGTCGTGCAGCTCAGCTTTCTGGCCCAGTTTCAGGCTGAGCCTCGGTGGAAGGTTATTTGGCCTGGACGGGCCGCGATCCTTTCTCTGCGAGGCGCTGCAGGAGCGTTGGACATCGTAGTCACGTATTTCCACACAGGCAGCACTGTCACCGAGCTGGACAAAGTTGGGGTGCACCCCAACTTTATGGAGTACTGCTCGACTTTCCCGCGCCTCCGGGAGCACATGCGGACGCGACTGGCCAGGGCCATCCAACCTCAGCATAGGGTGCTCACGCTCCTGGGCGGGGACTTCAACTGGGCGGCTCTTAAGACAGACCGCCGGTGCGTGGCCACGCTGCAGCCTACGGGCGGCCGCGACGACGGGGAGGAGAGGAACTTCCAGCTTTCAATCGGTCAGCGGCGCGGGCTCGAGGAGCTCTTCCAGCCGGAGATGACGCACGTGTGTGCCACGGCCTCCTCGCGGCTTGATCGCCTGTATCTCAATCACCACGCCTCGGAACAGATCGACCGTGAGTTACAAGTGGTGGCTTTGGAATGGAGGCACGACTTATCGGCGCATCGGGCCGTCCTGGCGGCCCGGCGCATCCCAGTCAGACTTGATGCGGCGAGGCGGCCTGTTGCCAGGGCGGTGTACATGCATCCCGATTTCCCTCGCCGCTGCGCTTTAGCCTTCCAGGAGCTGCTCGTCGCTCACCCAGGAGCATCCAGGTTGGAGCAGCTGCCCCTCCTGAAGGAAGCAATGCGGGGGGTGGCCGAAAACTTCGGCGCCCCCACTGTGGGCCTCCCATTGGCGGAGAAGGCTGAGGACAAGCTCGGGGTGGTCATGAGATTCATCCGGGCGTCGGAGCTGGGTTTCCTCGCGGACATCTCGCACTGCCTGCTGCGGTACCCTCACATATCCTCCTTTGTGGCGAACCCCTACGACCTCCAGGGCAACTTGACGACCTCCCTCCGTGCTCTCCGTGACCATGCAGTGGAACTCGCCCGGGAGGCCGCATTGGGTCTGCTCCTGGAGGCTCAGGACGACGCTGCGGAGGGAGACGCGCTCCAGGTGAAGCGGAAGAGGCAGCGAGGCACGCGCTTGCTGTACAAGTTGGCGCCCGGTCGCAGCTCTGGCATTGGGGCCGTCGTCGACGAGCGCGGCAACGTTGTGACAGGGGCGGCCGAGATGGCGAGCGTGCTTCGGCGGCATTGGGCAGAGATTTTCCGGGAACGCGGCGTTCGGCAGGATCGTCTCGAGGAGTGGTTGGTCGATGACGCCGCCGACCGGCAGCGCCAGGGCCCTCTTCATGCGGCGGTGCACGAGCTCCGGCTTACACGCCAACACGTTCTAGAGGCCCTCCGACTGTCCAACGACTCTTGCCCAGGGCCAGACGGGCTACCCTACGGGGCATGGAGGGCATTGGACGACGTCGCGGTGAACGTGTTGCACGGTGCTTTCGAAGAGATGGTGTCCGCAGCAGGGGAGGAGCAGGTCCGGCAGCAGTACGCCGACTTCAACGAGAGCCTCCTCTTCTTCCTCCCCAAGGCTCTGGAGGGCCACTCGGGGGGTGAGGCCGCGGCCTTCCCTGCGAGCGGCGTTCGCCCGCTTAACGTGGCGAACTGCGACAATCGCCTCTTCGCCAGTGCAATTCGCCTGGTGCTGGAGCCCGCGATCGAGCCGCTCATTATCTCGGACCAGCGCGGGTTCCTGCCAGGACGTTCGATGATTGCGAACCTTCTAGACGTCGACGAGGCGATGGCCCAAGTAGCCGCAGAAGGGGAGGAAGGCCTCGCTCTCTTTTATGATTTTGCGGCCGCCTTCCCTTCAATTGAACATAGTTTTTTCCATAAGTTTTTTGCTTCGCTGGGCTGGCCCCCATGGCTCCTCCGAGCCATCGGCATACTGTGCCAAGACAATTTCTGCTCCATCAGCCTGGGCGGAGCCCGATACCGCGGCTTCTCACTCACGCGGGGCATCCGTCAGGGATGTCCCCTCTCTCCTCTTTTGTTCGCCATGGCCACGGACCTCATGCTGCGCAGGCTACGGAGGGTATCCCCTTCCGCGTGCACGCGGGCATGGGCTGACGACTTGGCCATGGTTGTTGGGGAGGGTTACAATCGCCTCCGCTGTCTCCAGTCGTTTTTCATAGATTTTTCTTTGGTTTCCGGACTCCACCTCAACGTGCGGAAGACGGTCATTGTACCGCTGTTCCGATACCAAGAGCAGGATGTTAGGGACGAGGTGGCCCGCCAGGCTCCTGATTGGGGCTCCGTCCGGATTGCGGGGGCTGCGAAATATCTTGGTTTTATGGTGGGCCCGGGGAGGGCCGCCAGCTCCTGGCAGGCTCCGCTGAGAAAGTACATAGATCGGGCGAGACTTTGGGGGCGCCTCGGCCTGGGATTTTTCTTATCTCTGCAGGCGTACCGAGTGTACATCAGCTCTGTGCTCCAGTTTGTTGGTCAGCTGGAGGACCTCCCTCCTGATTTCTTCGTCCACGAACAGAGGGCATCCCAACTTTTGCTGCCAGGTCCGACGAGCTGGATGGTTTCACCCTGCCTTCGGGATTTGCGATCTCTCAGTTTTCCCAGCGAGCTGCCGGATATTGTCGCCACTGCTGCAGCTGCGAAGGCCCGCGTGGTGCGATTCGAAAATGCAGCCTACGGCGGCCTACGCGTGCAGGAACGTGCATCGCGCTTGCGGGATCTTCTGGCCAGTCCTGCCTGTTCCTTAGCTCATGCTGGATGGTGGCAGTCATGGGCCCAAAACTGTTTCTTGTTCAAGCTAGCCGCCGCCGACAGCGGTTTCCAGCGACGAGTTGCTCTCCTCCCCGCAGGGGGTGGCCTAGACTTGAGCGTGCGGCGCGGCTGGCAGGGCAGGGTGACGAGTCTCTTCAGAGCGACCCCGCCCAGAGCTGCCTATGTCCACCTTCGCCGTCGGCTCGAAAGGTGGCCGCTACGGACCTTCCCAGGCCGTCGCGTGGAGCGCGCGCTGATAACTTTTCGAGTTCTGGGGCGGAGCGCGGCGCCCCGAGTCCAAGCCGCCTATTTGCGCACCCTGTGCGACGGGTGGTGCACGCGGCGTCGGTTTCAGAGTCGCGGTCCCTGCTCATTTGCCTGTGGCGTCGGCGACGACAGCCTAGCACATTTTGCACGCTGCCCGACAATTCGAAGGCTGACTGCGTCCCAATTCGGTGGGCCAACTCCGGCTCCGGAGTGGGCCCTGGATTACTTATTCTGCATGCCTCCGAGCAGCGGCTCGCAAGCGATGGGAGGAGATGCCCTCCTCCTGCAGCGCGCTCTCTCTCTCTACGCCCTCTTCAGGCTCCATAACGGCATCCGGCATCATCAGTTTTCCCCCTCCGAGTTCTCGGGGGCGTACAATAGGTTTCTCCGCGAAGGGGCGAGGTAGCCTATTGCCTACACTCTCTTTGTTCTCTCTCCTCCTCCTCCTCCTTCTCCTCCTCCTCCTCCGTGCCCCCAGGTGGCCCCCTGAGGGCCTCCACTGGGCTCCAGCTGGCACCCGGGGTGGCTAAACAAATCAGCACGCATTTTGCACCGTCCTTCTCCTTGTTGGGGAGGTTGTTGTGTGGGCTGTGTGTTGTTTTTTTTTGCCTCTCTGGGTTCCTTTTGGCGCCTTTTTGGGGCCCTCCCGGGGACTTCCTGGGCCGGCCTCGGGGGTCGGCGGGCGGTTTTCTCGGAGCTAGGCTTGCAGGTGGGTGCGAGTTCTAGCTCATGCGATCGGCTGCGGAGCGCAGCATCCTTTTATACTTGCTTTCAACTTCGATCGTGCCGCGCTGTTCTGGCACTGGCTCGCTGGCGGCTGCCGCCTTGCGACTTCCACACTGGACGTGTGGGCACTCGTTCTGTCCGTTTGTCCTCCTCTCTTTCTTGTCGTCGTTCCCCCCTCTTCCCCCTCCCGCGTTTCCTCCAGAATGACGTTGTGCGCTTTTGAATTTTATACGTGGCCGTTCGGGCCGCTGGGGATGTCCGCACAACGCCCTCGCCCCCTCGTCTCCTCCTCGTCCTCGCTCTCCCCGCTTCTCTGCCCCCCCTGCCGGCGGGAAAATAGCCACATTTTGTTGCGCGTGCGTTCTCCTAAGCAGCGGCGGCCGCTTGCTTGCTGTGTTGGCTCCGTTTGTGCCAGTGGCTTCTTTTCACCCAGGAGGAAAGGGCGAGGACGGTCCTGCGGCAGGACAGCCTGCCGACTCCCCAGTCTCTATCCAATAGTCGGCGTCGGTCCGTGGGTTCATCGTTGCCGAAACAAAAAAATTATGATGGGGCGAACGATGGTGATTCGTGATGCAGGGGATGACGGTAATGATGCTTTTGATGACGACGATAATGATGACTATGCTGCGGGCCATACGGATGACGATTCTGATGACGAAGCTGTGAGGATGCTACTACGGATGATGCTGCAACTGATCATATTGATGAGCACCATGGTTATGATTGCGATTGCGATGCTCACGATGTTGCTGACGCTGATTCTGACGATGATGATGCTGATGATGAAGATATTGATGATGATGCTGTTGCAGATGATGATGGTGGTGATGATGATGCAGATGATGATCATGGTGATGATGGTATAGTGATGTATACGTTGATGGTTACCTTGTTGTTGATGGTGATGGCAGGTTGATTGATTGATCGACTTGTTGATTTCTCGTTTTGTAGATGATGGTGATGGTTGTGTCGGTGGTGCTGATGATGTGTACTTCTATGGTTAAGAAGGATGAGAAGGAGGCGAAGGCGGAGGAAGGGGAGGAGGTGGAGGGGGAGAGTAGGAGGGAGAGGGGAGGGCGGAGTGGGAGGAGGAGGAGTGGGGGAATGCCTGGCCGCTGGCAGCCGCTCCCTTTTTGTTTGGTGGGCGAGCCAGCCAACAGCAACCTGCGTCCTCCTGTCCCCCTCCTGGGCTTCGCCTCCTCCCCCTCCTCCTGCTATCTTCGTCGTCGTCCTCCTCCTCCTCCTCCTTCTCCTCCCTTTCCTCCCTCTTCTCCCCTTCCTTCCCACCTCCCTTCCTCCCCTCCCCCCTCCTGCACCTCCTGCCCCTCCTCCCCCCTTTTCCCCTTCTCCCTCCCCCCCCACCCCCTCCTACCCTTACCTACCTCCCCCCCTCCCCTCCCCTTCTCCTTCTTCTCGTTATCCTCGTCCCCCTCTCCTCCTCCTCCTCTTCCTCCTCCTCCTCCTCCTCCTCATTCTACTCCTCCTCGTCGTCGTCGTCGACGTTGTCGCGCCGCCTTCTCCTCCTCTTCCTCCTCTTACCCACTCTTCCTTCCTCCTCTCCTCTCTCCCTCCCTCCTTCCCTCCTTCCCTACTTCCCTCCAGAGTTACACAATCTGAATACTACTTTCCTCTCTCCTCTGACTCTGTCCGGAAGATGTTCGGCCCCTTCCGCGCAGTGTTTTTTTGTACACTGTATTCCGTTTGTATTGTTTAAAATTAAAGAAAAAACAAAACACAACTTATAACATATTTTATATTATTAATATATATATATATATATATATATATTCCCATCATATGCGCTTTTACACATCCGTTTTTTTCGGCCCTTCGAAGTGTTGCTCCCGCTGCAGCGTTGGCCTCATTTTCGGGCTTCCGCTCAGTCTGAATCGTGCTCCCGCTGCAGCGCTGGCCTCATTTCCGCGCTTCCGCTCATTCCGAATCGTGCTCCCGCGTCAGCGCTGTCCTCATTTCCGCGCTTCTGCTCGTCCCGAATCATGCTCCCGCTGCAGCGATGTCCTCATTTCCAGTGCCATGCCATGCCATGCCATGCCATGCCATGCCATGCCATGCAATGCAATGCAATGCAATGCAATGCAATGCAATGCTATGGTGTGTTCCGCTGTGCGATGCCATGCCTTCAGCTGCAATGCTATTATTTGCAGTGCTTGACTACTCAGTGCCACGCCATGCTATGTCATACTACGCGTTGATCTTCTACGCCATGCTATGCAATGTGCTGCTATGCCATGCTACGACATCCGACTGCGCGAATAGAGAGGATGTCTAAGCCATGGTAAGGGATGGGAGGGAGGGGTAGGACGTCAGATAAGACGCTTGCGCACCTAGCTTGCCCCTCCCCCCTCCCCCTCCCTCTCTCCCTCCCCCCTCCCTCTCTCCCTTCTCCCTCCCTCTCTCCCTCCCTCCTCCTGCTCCCCTCTTGTCCTTCTCACCCCTCCCCTTCTTCCTTCCGTCACTCCTTCTCCGCCTCCTCCTCCCGCCCCCCTCCTCCCCACCTTCCCCTCGCCGTCCTCTTTGGCTATGTTGCGGCATGTATCCGATCCAGGAGCCAGGCCCAGACCGTGGAGAATGGTCGAGAAAGCTCGCTGCCAGCACCGTGCGTCTCTCTCCGCGGTGAGGCCCCGAGCGTGAGCGCGAGCGCTCTCGGTGCTGGCCGCGGGCGCCAGAGGCGCGCAGTGCCTCGTTAGAGCATGCTCCGCTGCAGCTGCGGCTCGAGCCCGCACTCCCAGGCACAATGAGGCCGGCCATAACGAGGCGAAACCAAAGTGCGCGTTGGCCCCCTCATGCGTGCTTCTTGTTGCTCTTCCTCCTCCTCCTTTTGCTCCATCTGAGGTCCTCCTCCTTCTCCTCCTCCTCCTCCTCCTTTTGCTCCTCCTTTTGCTCCTTCTGAGGTCCTCCTCCTCCTTCTCCTCCTGCTCCCCTGCCTTCCCAATCTCCCCAAACCTCCCCCGACCTCTTTCCTCCCCCCCCTTGCTCCTCCTTCTCCTCCCGTCCTTTCCGGCGCGCGCGCTGGCTGGGACCTCTGCCACGAGGCAGACGAGGCTCCGCCGCCCTGATTCTCACCCGGCACGGCAGAACTTGCAGCAGATGGCCGCAGACTCTCCACCCCGCTGTCCCTCCCTCGAAGACCAAGCACCAGCACAAAACCGCTACCCGCCGGAGCTCCGCGGGGATCTCTGGGGTCGGCGCTGGGCCCCCATGCCATCCCCACACCCCTGGCGGTGGCCGCTTCTCGGCGCCGCCCCCGTCGCGCTCCGCGCGCCAGGGATGGTCACCGAACGCGTTCCACTACTCGCAGAGCGCCTACTTGCAAGCTTCCGAGAAACACATGCTCGCTTCGATGTCAGGGATCGTGACTCCCCGCAGCGGACCCAGGCCATTTTGTGAGTAGTTCCTTTGCGAGTCGTGGAACGCGCTTCTCTAGATAGGGTGTGGGGAGGCGCTGGATCAGCGCCGACCCATGAGATCCGCGCGGAGATCCAGGAGCCTGTGGCTTGTGCTTTTGCCTGCTCTTCTCTTTCCTCCGTCTGGCCCATGGGTCCACATGGGAACAGCGGGCGTTTTCGCCCCGCTGAGCGCCCCTTGCCCCTCGCGGATCGATCCAGCTCGAGAAAAGCTGCAGAAAGGTGGGGCCGACATCTCTGGACGTTCAGTTTTGTTCGTTTCTTGTTTTCCTATATTTATTCCAACAGAGAATATTTGTTTAGAAAAGAGCACCGCGGTCGCGTCTCCCTTCTCCCGCCTCCTCCTCCCGCCTCCTTCCTCCTGCCCTCTCCTCGCCGTCGCTGGGGGGCTGCGATCTGCAAAAGTGTCGCCACTTTCGAGGGCTGCTGGTGGGTCCAGCGGAGTAAGGCACCGCGCGGACCTGAGGTAGACCTCGCCGTGCCTGGGGGGCTGCGATCTGCGAAATTGTCGCCACTCTCAAGGGCTGCTGGTGGGTCCAGCGGAGTGAGGCACCGCGCGGACCTGAGGTAGACCTCGTCGTCCCTGGGGGGCTGCGATCTGCGAAACTGTCGCCACTTTCGAGGGCTGCTGCTGGGTCCAGCGGAGTAAGGCACCGCGCGGACCCGAGATAGACCTCGCCGTCCCTGGGGGGCTGCGATCTGCGAATTTTTCGCCAATCTCGAGGGCTGCTGGTGGGTCCAGCGGAGTGAGGCACCGCGCGGACCTGAGGTAGACCTCGCCGTCCCTGGGGGGCTGCGATCTGCGAAACTGTCGCCACTTTCGAGGGCTGCTGGTGGGTCCCAGCGGGGTGAGGCACCGCGCGGACCTGAGGCAGGCCTCGCCGTCCCTGGGGGCTGTGATCTGCGAATCTGTCGCCACTTTCGAGGGCTGCTGGTGGGTCCAGCGGAGTAAGGGCACCGCGCAGACCTGAGGTAGACATTGCTGTCCCTGGAGGGCTTGGCTGCGATTCGCGAAACTGTCGCCACTTTCGAGGGCTGCTGGTGGGTCCAGCAGAGTGAGGCACCGCGCAGGCCTGAGGTAGACCTCGCCGTCCCTGGGGGCTGCGATCTGCGAGTCTTCGCCACTTTCGAGGGCTGCTGGTGGGTCCAGCAGAGTGAGGCACCGCGCAGACCTGAGGTAGACCTCGCCGTCCCTGGTGGGCTGCGATCTGCGAAACTGTCGCCACTTTCGAGGGCTGCTGGTGGGTCCAGCGGAGTAAGGCACCGCGCAGACCTGAGGTAGACCTCGTCGTCCCTGGTGGGCTACGATCTGCGAAACTGCCGCCACTTTCGAAGGCTGCTGGTGCGTCCAGCGGAGAGAGGCACAGCGCGGACCTGAGGTAGACCTCGCCGTCCCTGGCGGGCTGCGATCTGCGAAATTTTCGCCACTTTCGAGGGCTGCTGGTGGGTCCAGCGGAGTGAGACACCGCGCAGACCTGAGGTAGACCTCGTCGTCCCTGCTGGGCTGCGATCTGCGAAACTGTCGCCACTTTCGAGGGCTGCTGGTGGGTCCAGCGGAGTAAGGCACCGCGCGGACCTGAGGTAGACATTGCTGTCCCTGGGGGGCTGCGATCTGCGAAACTGTCGCCACTTTCGAAGGCTGCTGGTGGGTCCAGCGGAGTGAGGCACCGCGCGGACCTGAGGTAGACCTCGCCGTCCCTGGGGGGCTGCGATCTGCAAAACCGTCACCACTTTCGAAGGCTGCTGGTGGGTCCAGCGGAGTGAGGCACCGCGCAGACCTGATGTAGACCTCGCCGTCCCTGGGGGGCTGCGATCTGCAAAACCGTCGCTACTTTCGAGGGCTGCTGGTGCGTCCAGCGAGGTGAGGCACCGCGCAGACCTGAAGTAGACCTCGCCGTCCCTGGGGGGCTGCGACCTGCGAAACCGTCGCCACTTTCGAGGGCTGCTGGTGGGCTCGCCACTTTCGAGGGCTGCTGGTGGGTCCAGCGGAGTAAGGCACTTCGCAGGCCTGAGGTAGACCTCGCCGTCCCTGGGCGGCCATGTCATGTTGTTGCTGCCCCGCCGACGTTTCAAGCCCCTTACCTACAGTCTCCTTTTTGACCTTGCGTCTTCCTCAGTGACCCACGGGGTTCACTTAGTTTTTCATCGTTTTCCCTTGATTGGAGATCTGCGAACCTTCCGAATGCCGCTCGCAGAGAGAGAGAGAGAGAGAGAGAGATATATATATATATATATATATACATATAACGGCGCACCGGGTCCGGGGGCCCGGGGCCGGGACCTCGACCACAAATGTGCACCCCGGGGGGCCCGGAGGCTCGTCGGGGCTTGCCGGAGGCCTCCCCGGTCAGACAAGACGGCCCCAGGAGCGCCCAAGACGGCCCAAGAAACTTCCAAGAGGCCTCCAAGAGGGCTCCGAGATGCTGAAGATGGCCTCCAGACGTCCAAGGACGCCCCCAAGAGGCCCCAAGAAGCCTCCAACATGCGTCCCAAGAGGGCCCCTAGACGCAAAAATTGGCCCATTCCCTTCGTAAAACGTACATTTTCAACAAAGTTGTCTTTTGGGCTTTCCGACGTTACAGGACGGCCCAAGAGGCGCCCAAGACCGCCCCAAGACGGCCCAAGAAGCTTCCCAGAGGGCCCCAGGACAGCCCAAGAGGGCCCCAAGACGGCCCAAGAGGCGCCCAAGATGGCCCAAGAGGGCCCCAAGACGGGCCCAAGAGGGGGCCCAGAGGGGGACCACGAACCGCAAGCTCGAGCCTTCCGCCCCAAGAGGCCGCCAGGAGGCCCCCAGGAGGCCCCTCAAGAGGCCCCAGGAGACCCCAGACGTCCAAGGACGCCCCCAAGAGGCCCCAAGAAGCCTCCAACATGCGTCCCAAGAGGGCCCCTAGACGCAAAAATTGACCCATTCCCTTCGTAAAACGTACATTTTCAACAAAGTTGTCTTTTGGGCTTTCCGACGTTACAGGACGGCCCAAGAGGCGCCCAAGACCGCCCCAAGACGGCCCAAGAAGCTTCCAAGAGGGCCCCAGGACAGCCCAAGAGGGCCCCAAGACGGCCCAAGAGGCGCCCAAGATGGCCCAAGAGGGCCCCAAGACGGGCCCAAGAGGGGGCCCAGAGGGGGACCACGAACCGCAAGCTCGAGCCTTCCGCCCCAAGAGGCCGCCAGGAGGCCCCCAGGAGGCCCCTCAAGAGGCCCCAGGAGACCCCAGACGTCCAAGGACGCCCCCAAGACGCCCCAAGAAGCCTCCAACATGCGTCCCAAGAGGGCCCCTAGACGCAAAAATTGGCCCATTCCCTTCGTAAAACGTACATTTTCAACAAAGTTGTCTTTTGGGCTTTCCGACGTTACAGGACGGCCCAAGAGGCGCCCAAGACCGCCCCAAGACGGCCCAAGAAGCTTCCAAGAGGGCCCCAGGACAGCCCAAGAGGGCCCCAAGACGGCCCAAGAGGCGCCCAAGATGGCCCAAGAGGGCCCCAAGACGGGCCCAAGAGGGGGCCCAGAGGGGGACCACGAACCGCAAGCTCGAGCCTTCCGCCCCAAGAGGCCGCCAGGAGGCCCCCAGGAGGCCCCCACGACGCTTCGCGTCACCAATTTCTTCTCACAACGATTCCTGGGTCTTTGACTCGACAGAACCTAAGCGCGCGCGAAGCGCGCGCGTGGTTCTAGTATATATATATATATATATACAAGACTGCAGTGGCGCTTCGCGTCATGCACCTTGGTCCTTGACGGACTGGCAGGAAGGTCAAGCCGACAATTTAGCGATCACACCTTTTCTGGCATCGCCGCTAGAATAATGTTATTCGTTATCCTTCCTCCATGCTTCTTTTTCCTCATGCTCGCCATGCCCTGCGCATTCTCCCCATCCTCCTCAGCTCTTTTTGCGGAGGCTCCTCCTTGGAGAGCCTCTGGGGGCCTCACAAAAGTTGTTTCAGGCTTTCTTAAGGCCTTCTGGAGGCCTCCTGGGCGTGTTCTGGGAGCCTCTAGGGGCTTCCTCGGGCCACCCTGCCTCCAACCGCGGTCTCCCTGAACGACCGGGTCACGATTTGGAATGCTTCGGAGGGCGTCTTGGGGCCATCTTGGGCTGCCATGGGGCTCTCTGAGGGCCATCTTGGACCCCTGTTGTGCCGTTTTGGGGCTCTCTTGGACTGCCTGGAAGCCCTTCGGATGGTTATGGGGCGATTTGGAAGCCTCCCAGGCGGCTTCGGACGCCCAGAAGACCGCCGTCTTGGAGCGTCGGGAAGCCGAAAAGAGGAGAACCCCAAAATAAACCAAAAACCATCAAAATCAATGATGTTTGCCTCTTGGAGCCTTCTTGGGAGTGCTCTTGGAGGCCTCTTGGGAAGTTTCGGGAAGATCTTTGGGGGTATGACGGCTTCTTGGGGGTCGTCGTCGACCGTATTGGGGCTCTCTGGGGTCGCTTCGGGAGCGCGCCACGTCCTGCGAGGCCCGAGGGGCCGCTTCGAGGCCCGTCCGGATCCGAGGGTCCCCAGCCCCCAGGTTCGGGAGTCTGTTTTTTTCCCAACCCTCCTGCGGTGGGTATTCGTTTTGAATAGAGCACTGCGGTCTCCACCTTCCTTCCTTCCCGCCTCCTCCTCCTCTCTTCCCTCTTCCTCTCCTCTCTTGCTTCCCTTCTCCGCCTCTCTTCGCTCCTCCTCTTCTCTCTTGCATCCCTTCTCCTCTCTTCGCTCCTCCTCTCTTGCTTCCCTTCT